CTCCTCTCGCTTTTTGGATACACAACGTCACAAGCATTGGTCGCACTCGTGTACCGATGCCAGGAGAGTACAAACAAATCACAGAAATCGCCCACTGAAAGAGGATAAGATGCCGCAACAAGGCAAGAACGAGCTACCGGGGAATGTCCGTCGGACTGTTTTCCATACCGATCTACAGACACTGCAGTTGCCCAGGCAGAAACCTCCAGAACAGCAACAGAAGCCGACTTCCATCCAGGATCTGTATCCAAGTCCTCCTCCGCCACCCCTATCAGAATGTGCCCCAGCATCAGGTAGGAAAACCGCCTCAAGATAAGAACTATACAAAAAAACCTTCCTTTGGGAATCCTCAGAATATGCAGCAGATGATGCAGCAGCCACATGATAAGCAGACTCGTAAGAATACCCCCAAGATGATGCAGCAAAATCAGCAGACGAAGTACCAGAATCCCCCTAAAAAGGATCCGTACGAGGGGCCTCCTCTGAAGGCTAATCATGATCAGTTGAACCAGCAGCCACCTCAGGAGTATCGAGTGTCTGCTTATCAGAATTGTACAGAAAATCCTACGCATGGGAATCCTCAGATAATGCAGCAGCCTCCACAGCAATCCAAAATGATGCGGCAATGTCATTCGACCGAATACCAGAATCCCTCAAAGAAGGATCCGTATATAAAGCAGCTACAGCAGGAGTATCGGGACGAATGTTTTTGCATTTCACTTAAGCAGCTGTCGCATTCGAATCATTCACAGAAGCAGCTGTTCTCGAATGATCCTCAAGAACAGGTACAGCGAAATCTGAGCCAGAATAAAGCTCCTGCTAGAAGATGCAGTTCCATGGCCAAAGTCGTTCCAGTGCCACGTACAGAGTGCAACAGCCGCCAGGTGCCGCATAACCTTTGTAGGAACGCGGACTCTCGCCCACCCTCATTCATGGCCGATAAAGCCAAGGAGATATTTTCACCCGAAGGCTGCGATAAGGACAACCACAAGATGGGATCCAAAGGCAAGCTGTCAAAATACGAGAATCAGCTGTCTGGCACGGAGAGCAACTGCAGCTCCACGACAGCGTCTGTTATCAGTGCGAAGAGCGGGGACGAACTGCGTTCCATGGTCCGTGAGGAGCTGAAGCTGCAGTTGGCGCTTAGGGGACTTTCCAATATGGTTAAGAAGGGGGAGATATTGGATCCGGAACCGTCTACGTGTGACAAATCGGCCTCTAATCGGTCCAAGTCCTTCAAGTCGAAGGAGAAAGCATCCACAAGTGCATGTGCAGCTCTGGAGACGGGGCCGCAGGTCGATTACAGTAATGATGATGTAGATGAAATAGTGAAATGCAAGGTCATCACTCCCATGATACGTAAGATACAGAAAACGTATCTTAAAAATCTTCGCGACGAGATTGATCTGGTGGAGTATCTGGAGCGGGTGCCAGCTGCCATCAGTGAGCTGTGCAAGAACGCTGGTATTAAGGACCAGAGCAAACTAAAAAAGTGACTCCGGTCCTTTTCTTATTTATTCGTTGAGTTTTAATATATTTCTGTATACATTTCTTACAAATAAAACGTTGTGTGGCATCTACAGCCCAATGTTAACAGAGCAATGTTCAGATGTAACATCGTGACCAATACGCCACAGGGCGTGACTTTAAGAATAACAGTGACAGGGATGCGAGGACGCTACTATCGATTAAGTTGCAAAACCATCGGATGTTTAGAATGATCGATTCGTCATCAAACATTTCCATCAAAAACAGTTTTAAATAATTTTAAAAAATATACAGTTTGGTACAAAGTTTGATATACCCAATTCTTTTGACCTTCCACTATTGGAGCAGATAATATCCTGCGAATATGTATATTAGAGCGGGTCAATATGTATGGGCAAAACAAAACGTATATGCGTCCACCAGAGTCGGGGAGATATTGGAATCGCTGGCTGCGACCAGTCGTATAAACTAATTAAAATTGTTACGAACCTTTTGGTGGTGGGGCAAAACCGGCTAGCCAGTCTATCCCAGGGCTGGGTACTTTCAACAAATCGAACACCTCGGACAACAATTGAAACATCTACAAAACAAAACAGAAAATAAAGACAGAAAACGACACTTCAAAAATAAATCTTACGGACGCTACTCGACAAACGATCTCCTACCAAAACGTGGACCAGGTTGAGGCGTTGATGTCGTACCTCCGACGTACCCACCCACCAGAGATCCGGATCAGACCATGTCGGATCTCCCTGCGAAACACTTAACTATTCATTTTTTTCGTTATAATTCTTATTCACATCCTACTCATATCGGTGGCGCGTCCGCCTATTCCCGCCAACTTAATACAATGGGGTAGATATTATATAATTAAATAAATATGATTAAATAAATAGGATTAAATAAATAAGGTATAAATATTAATAGCTGCATAAGGCTGAGAACGGAAAAATAAATATGGACGGCCTGACGAAAACAGACAGAGAACAACAAAAAAAATTTAAGTAGACAGTTGTTTTTTCTTTAAATATATACTTTGGTTTTTTTCTAGGGTTGGGGTGCCGTGGAGAGCTCCCTCCGTGGCAGGGCAAGTGACCAGGATCCCGTGGGCCGAAAGACTTGAAGAGACCAATATAAAAGAGGCCAGGATATCAAAGAAATTCCTTCTACTGTTAAGATAAGCTTCCGGCTTTTCCCACTTTTGGAGCGACTCACTTCTATTGTTTCGGAAGCTCCTGGGTCTTCCCGCTGGTCAGCTCGAAATCCTTCCCTGTCTCTCTCTTCCTGATCCAGATTTTCAGTTCTCGTGTCTGCCAAATTTATTTTTTCCTCTCGGTTTATTCCCAGCTTCTCGCAAATGCCACCTTGCAGCTGCTGCTCGTCGTAGTGGTGTGGTTTGGTCGGCGGTAGGGGCGGCTTGACAGAGGGGAGGGGAGCAGTCCTCCAGCAGACTGGATTTAGAACAGGGCAGCCACCATATGCGTGATGGGGGTGATGATGGAACGGATGGATGGACTGGCACACGATGCAGAAGCACATTGACATTGACCCTCCTTACACGACGACCGTCAATGATCAACCGACTGAATGCTAATCTGAACTTGATCTAATGATGACCCGGCCACGATCGCAAACGGTCCCCCACACAAGACAACTAAGGGAAGCCGAAGGTCCCCAACTTAAAAATACAATTTTTTTTTTTATTATTAAATTCTAAAAAATTATAAAATTATACTCAGCTGACTGAATACGGGTATAAGTAGAGTCGGGTCCCCAGAAGCGACTCACGCGTTCCTTCTCGTTTTTTTATTGTGTGCCCGGAAAGATGGTGAAGTTTTAGTTCTTTTAATTCTAGCTTGTGCGTTTTCAAATAATATAATTAATTTTTGTATGCGGTTTATTTCGTCTGTATGATTAATATTTGGTGAGTCTAATTGGTTCCAAACAATCTTGGGTATTTCGCTAAAGCCTCCTATGTATGTATATATTACAAAGACAATATTCCCTTCTTCTGTTTCTATACTGTGATGAGGAATTAGAATCTTATCATTAACTGGAGCAGTGCCATCCGACCTAATTGTTGAAATCCCCTGTTCGGGCAAATCGCTGGCACTACTCCAAGGCCAACTTCCTTCACAAACTCTTTTATAAGATTGCCACCTTGGCACTTATTGAACATCGCCGTGCACCATAATCATGCGTTCTTCAATTCTGATTGGTATTGGAACAACTCTAAATAACGCTGATGCATGTCGACCAATCAAAGGTATCTTCTTAGCCCCTAGCTGTTAGGTTATGTTGGGTCTATAGGGCTGCTCGGGTGGCAAGTCTGCCCATTGTGATGCCCACACTCGTCACGGGATATTGTCCGGTGCCTTGGTTCTTGGCTTACCCGCGGGGTGTGGCGTGAGAAGGCGGTGTCGCGGTACTGCTACCGCCAGGGTGCCCGTACCGAAAGATATGCGGCAGTCCGTTGCAATTAGTTTGGCAAGGCTTTCCTGACCAATACTGATCCAGAGTTCCTTGCCGTTCCCCATGTCAAGCGCTATCCCCTTGTGATGGTCCAGTCAGATGCCTCCAGGATCCGGTTCTGTGCCTTGATCAGAACGAGTGTGTACCCATCCGCCTTGATCGGGGGAGGAATCCACACCTTCATTATCGTTCTCCGAATCTGATCCGTAGGGACCACGGCCAAAGTTCACCAAATACCACGAAGGTATTTTGCCGATGCCCTGTATCCCGCTTGCAGCCGCTTGCGTAGGGTCTCAGCCTCCATGCCTTGTGGCACCGCCTTCTGCGGCTCCTCGTTGCATCCGAGTCGAAAGAAGGCCGTAGCCAACTCTGCTTCCTACACTGAGGGACCTGTGAAGACGAAGCATCCGTCTGTGGTTCCCGGTTCTAGATCCTCTATCGTCCCTTTCTGTCTGCGGATCATTCTGTTGCTTGTGGCATTACGCGATTTGGCAGCCAAGCACTCCACTGCCATTTCGGGTTTCCTGCAGTCACAGGATATCGACGCCGGGGGGCCTGCGCTCGCACCCCCAATAACCGCCGGTACTGTCTCTCCGACGCCCTGCACCTTAACTGTTGAATCGTTATCGGACATTTCCCCCATAACGGATGTGTTTTATCCCTACCGCCAGGGTGAACTACTTTTGGGTTCGGCGCTCCCCCATGACCTGCCCGGCTTGGGTGGCCCTTCTGGCAGCATACGCTACCGCCGGTATAGCCGTTGAATTCCTTACGCTTACTAAGCCCCCTCATCGCGGCAAGATGGTAGTTCTCCGAGCGGGTAGACAAAAGACATAGAGATTTACGAATCATAAGCTCACATACATACTGACTGAGTACCATGTGCACAAGTAGAGGCGCGGCCTTTTCCGCGGCTCACAACATTCCCGCTCGTTTCGAAATTCAGAATTGAGACCCTACTACAGAGAACTGACTCTTCTTTCATTATATTATGTTCATCGTTTCGTTTAGTTTCCACAGGAAAAGTGACCTTGCTATTAAAGTCATCACATGGATAACATCACCTCATAAACTGAAACAAACTCCAACCGATTTAAACAGCACCAGTCTCCTCTCGCTTTTTGGATACACAACGTCACAAGCATTGGTCGCACTCGTGTACCGATGCCAGGAGAGTACAAACAAATCACAGAAATCGCCCACTGAAAGAGGATAAGATGCCGCAACAAGGCAAGAACGAGCTACCGGGGAATGTCCGTCGGACTGTTTTCCATACCGATCTACAGACACTGCAGTTGCCCAGGCAGAAACCTCCAGAACAGCAACAGAAGCCGACTTCCATCCAGGATCTGTATCCAAGTCCTCCTCCGCCACCCTATCAGAATGTGCCCCAGCATCAGGTAGGAAAACCGCCTCAAGATAAGAACTATACAAAAAAACCTTCCTTTGGGAATCCTCAGAATATGCAGCAGATGATGCAGCAGCCACATGATAAGCAGACTCGTAAGAATACCCCCAAGATGATGCAGCAAAATCAGCAGACGAAGTACCAGAATCCCCCTAAAAAGGATCCGTACGAGGGGCCTCCTCTGAAGGCTAATCATGATCAGTTGAACCAGCAGCCACCTCAGGAGTATCGAGTGTCTGCTTATCAGAATTGTACAGAAAATCCTACGCATGGGAATCCTCAGATAATGCAGCAGCCTCCACAGCAATCCAAAATGATGCGGCAATGTCATTCGACCGAATACCAGAATCCCTCAAAGAAGGATCCGTATATAAAGCAGCTACAGCAGGAGTATCGGGACGAATGTTTTTGCATTTCACTTAAGCAGCTGTCGCATTCGAATCATTCACAGAAGCAGCTGTTCTCGAATGATCCTCAAGAACAGGTACAGCGAAATCTGAGCCAGAATAAAGCTCCTGCTAGAAGATGCAGTTCCATGGCCAAAGTCGTTCCAGTGCCACGTACAGAGTGCAACAGCCGCCAGGTGCCGCATAACCTTTGTAGGAACGCGGACTCTCGCCCACCCTCATTCATGGCCGATAAAGCCAAGGAGATATTTTCACCCGAAGGCTGCGATAAGGACAACCACAAGATGGGATCCAAAGGCAAGCGTCAAAATACGAGAATCAGCTGTCTGGCACGGAGAGCAACTGCAGCTCCACGACAGCGTCTGTTATCAGTGCGAAGAGCGGGGACGAACTGCGTTCCATGGTCCGTGAGGAGCTGAAGCTGCAGTTGGCGCTTAGGGGACTTTCCAATATGGTTAAGAAGGGGGAGATATTGGATCCGGAACCGTCTACGTGTGACAAATCGGCCTCTAATCGGTCCAAGTCCTTCAAGTCGAAGGAGAAAGCATCCACAAGTGCATGTGCAGCTCTGGAGACGGGGCCGCAGGTCGATTACAGTAATGATGTAGATGAAATAGTGAAATGCAAGGTCATCACTCCCATGATACGTAAGATACAGAAAACGTATCTTAAAAATCTTCGCGACGAGATTGATCTGGTGGAGTATCTGGAGCGGGTGCCAGCTGCCATCAGTGAGCTGTGCAAGAACGCTGGTATTAAGGACCAGAGCAAACTAAAAAAGTGACTCCGGTCCTTTTCTTATTTATTCGTTGAGTTTTAATATATTTCTGTATACATTTCTTACAAATAAAACGTTGGTGGCATCTACAGCCCAATGTTAACAGAGCAATGTTCAGATGTAACATCGTGACCAATACGCCACAGGGCGTGACTTTAAGAATAACAGTGACAGGGATGCGAGGACGCTACTATCGATTAAGTTGCAAAACCATCGGATGTTTAGAATGATCGATTCGTCATCAAACATTTCCATCAAAAACAGTTTTAAATAATTTTAAAAAATATACAGTTTGGTACAAAGTTTGATATACCCAATTCTTTTGACCTTCCACTATTGGAGCAGATAATATCCTGCGAATATGTATATTAGAGCGGGTCAATATGTATGGGACAAAACAAAACGTGATATGCGTCCACCAGAGTCGGGGAGATATTGGAATCGCTGGCTGCGACCAGTCGTATAAACTAATTAAAATTGTTACGAACCTTTTGGTGGTGGGGCAAAACCGGCTAGCCAGTGTACCCAGGGCTGGGTACTTTCAACAAATCGAACACCTCGGACAACAATTGAAACAGCTACAAAACAAAACAGAAAATAAAGAAAGAAAACGACACTTCAAAAATAAATCTTACGGACGCTACTCGACAAACGATTTCCTACCAAAACGTGGACCAGGTTGAGGCGTTGATGTTGTACCTCCGACGTACCCACCCACCAGAGATCCGGATCAGACCATGTCGGATCTCCCTGCGAAACACTTAACTATTCATTTTTTCGTTATAATTCTTATACACATCCTACTCATATCGGTGGCGCGTCCGCCTATTCCCGCCCCTCAGCTTAATACAATGGGGTAGATATTATATAATTAAATAAATATGATTAAATAAATAGGATTAAATAAATAAGGTATAAATATTAATAGCTGCATATGGCTGAGAACGGAAAAATAAATATGGACCGCCTGACGAAAACAGACAGAGAACAACAAAAAAAATTTAAGTAGACAGTTGTTTTTTCTTTAAATATATACTTTGGTTTTTTTCTAGGGTTGGGGTGCCGTGGAGAGCGCCCTCCGTGGCAGGGCAAGTGACCAGGATCCCGTGGGCCGAAAGACTTGAAGAGACCAATATGAAAGAGGCCAGGATATCAAAGAAATTCCTTCTACTGTTAAGATAAGCTTCCGGCTTTTCCCACTTTTGGAGCGACTCACTTCTATTGTTTCGGAAGCTCCTGGGTCTTCCCGCTGGTCAGCTCGAAATCCTTCCCTGTCTCTCTCTTCCTGATCCAGATTTTCAGTTCTCGTGTCTGCCAAATTTATTTGTTCCTCTCGGTTTATTCCCAGCTTCTCGCAAATGCCACCTTGCAGCTGCTGCTCGTCGTAGTGGTGTGGTTTGGTCAGCGGTAGGGGCGGCTTGACAGAGGGGAGGGGAGCAGTCCTCCAGCAGACTGGATTAAGAACAGGGCAGCCACCATATGCGTGATGGGGGTGATGATGGAACGGATGGATGGACCGGCACACGATGCAGAAGCACATTGACATTGACCCTCCTTACACGACGACGGTCAATGATCAACCGACTGAATGCTATTCTGAACTTGATCTAATGATGACCCGGCCACGATCGCAAACGGTCCCCACACAAGACAACTAAGGGAAGCCGAAGGTCCCCAACTTAAAAATACAATTTTTTTTTTAATTATTAAATTCTAAAAAATTATAAAATTATACTCAGCTGACTGAGTACGGGTATAATTAGAGTCGGGTCCCCAGAAGCGACTCACGCGTTCCTTCTCGTTTTTTTATTGTGTGCCCGGAAAGATGGTGAAGTTTTAGTTCTTTTAATTCTAGCTTGTGCGTTTTCAAATAATATAATTAATTTTTTATGCGGTTTATTTCGTCTGTATGATTAATATTTGGTGAGTCTAATTGGTTCCAAACAATCTTGGGTATTTCGCTAAAGCCTCCTATGTATGTATATATTACAAAGACAATATTCCCTTCTTCTGTTTCTATACTGTGATGAGGAATTAGAATCTTATCATTAACTGGAGCAGTGCCATCCGACCTAATTGTTGAAATCCCCTGTTCGGGCAAATCGCTGGCACTACTCCAAGGCCAACTTCCTTCACAAACTCTTTTATAAGATTGCCACCTTGGCACTTATTGAACATCGCCGTGCACCATAATCATGCGTTCTTCAATTCTGATTGGTATTGGAACAACTCTAAATAACGCTGATGCATGTCGACCAATCAAAGGTATCTTCTTAGCCCCTAGCTGTTAGGTTATGTTGGGTCTATAGGGCTGCTCGGGTGGCAAGTCTGCCCATTGTGATGCCCACACTCGTCACGGGATATTGTCCGGTGCCTTGGTTCTTGGCTTACCCGCGGGGTGTGGCGTGAGAAGGCGGTGTCGCGGTACTGCTACCGCCAGGGTGCCCGTACCGAAAGATATGCGGCAGTCCGTTGCAATTAGTTTGGCAAGGCTTTCCTGACCAATACTGATCCAGAGTTCCTTGCCGTTCCCCATGTCAAGCGCTATCCCCTTGTGATGGTCCAGTCAGATGCCTCCAGGATCCGGTTCTGTGCCTTGATCAGAACGAGTGTGTACCCATCCGCCTTGATCGGGGGAGGAATCCACACCTTCATTATCGTTCTCCGAATCTGATCCGTAGGGACCACGGCCAAAGTTCACCAAATACCACGAAGGTATTTTGCCGATGCCCTGTATCCCGCTTGCAGCCGCTTGCGTAGGGTCTCAGCCTCCATGCCTTGTGGCACCGCCTTCTGCGGCTCCTCGTTGTATCCGAGTCGAAAGAAGGCCGTAGCCAACTCTGCTTCCTACACTGAGGGACCTGTGAAGACGAAGCATCCGTCTGTGGTTCCCGGTTCTAGATCCTCTATCGTCCCTTTCTGTCTGCGGATCATTCTGTTGCTTGTGGCATTACGCGATTTGGCAGCCAAGCACTCCACTGCCATTTCGGGTTTCCTGCAGTCACAGGATATCGACGCCGGGGGGCCTGCGCTCGCACCCCCAATAACCGCCGGTACTGTCTCTCCGACGCCCTGCACCTTAACTGTTGAATCGTTATCGGACATTTCCCCCATAACGGATGTGTTTTATCCCTACCGCCAGGGTGAACTACTTTTGGGTTCGGCGCTCCCCCATGACCTGCCCGGCTTGGGTGGCCCTTCTGGCAGCATACGCTACCGCCGGTATAGCCGTTGAATTCCTTACGCTTACTAAGCCCCCTCATCGCGGCAAGATGGTAGTTCTCCGAGCGGGTAGACAAAAGACATAGAGATTTACGAATCATAAGCTCACATACATACTGACTGAGTACCATGTGCACAAGTAGAGGCGCGGCCTTTTCCGCGGCTCACAACATTCCCGCTCGTTTCGAAATTCAGAATTGAGACCCTACTACAGAGAACTGACTCTTCTTTCATTATATTATGTTCATCGTTTCGTTTAGTTTCCACAGGAAAAGTGACCTTGCTATTAAAGTCATCACATGGATAACATCACCTCATAAACTGAAACAAACTCCAACCGATTAAAACAGCACCAGTCTCCTCTCGCTTTTTGGATACACAACGTCACAAGCATTGGTCGCACTCGTGTACCGATGCCAGGAGAGTACAAACAAATCACAGAAATCGCCCACTGAAAGAGGATAAGATGCCGCAACAAGGCAAGAACGAGCTACCGGGGAATGTCCGTCGGACTGTTTTCCATACCGATCTACAGACACTGCAGTTGCCCAGGCAGAAACCTCCAGAACAGCAACAGAAGCCGACTTCCATCCAGGATCTGTATCCAAGTCCTCCTCCGCCACCCTATCAGAATGTGCCCCAGCATCAGGTAGGAAAACCGCCTCAAGATAAGAACTATACAAAAAAACCTTCCTTTGGGAATCCTCAGAATATGCAGCAGATGATGCAGCAGCCACATGATAAGCAGACTCGTAAGAATACCCCCAAGATGATGCAGCAAAATCAGCAGACGAAGTACCAGAATCCCCCTAAAAAGGATCCGTACGAGGGGCCTCCTCTGAAGGCTAATCATGATCAGTTGAACCAGCAGCCACCTCAGGGGTATCGAGTGTCTGCTTATCAGAATTGTACAGAAAATCCTACGCATGGGAATCCTCAGATAATGCAGCAGCCTCCACAGCAATCCAAAATGATGCGGCAATGTCATTCGACCGAATACCAGAATCCCTCAAAGAAGGATCCGTATATAAAGCAGCTACAGCAGGAGTATCGGGAGGAATGTTTTTGCATTTCACTTAAGCAGCTGTCGCATTCGAATCATTCACAGAAGCAGCTGTTCTCGAATGATCCTCAAGAACAGGTACAGCGAAATCTGAGCCAGAATAAAGCACCTGCTAGACGATGCAGCTCCATGGCCAAAGTCGTTCCAGTGCCACGTACAGAGTGCAACAGCCGCCAGGTGCCGCATAACCTTTGTAGGAACGCGGACTCTCGCCCACCCTCATTCATGGCCGATAAAGCCAAGGAGATATTTTCACCCGAAGGCTGCGATAAGGACAACCACAAGATGGGATCCAAAGGCAAGCTGTCAAAATACGAGAATCAGCTGTCTGGCACGGAGAGCAACTGCAGCTCCACGAAAGCGTCTGTTATCAGTGCGAAGAGCGGGGACGAACTGCGTTCCATGGTCCTTGAGGAGCTGAAGCTGCAGTTGGCGCTTAGGGGACTTTCCAATATGGTTAAGAAGGGGGAGATATTGGATCCGGAACCGTCTACGTGTGACAAATCGGCCTCTAATCGGTCCAAGTCCTTCAAGTCGAAGGAGAAAGCATCCACAAGTGCATGTGCAGCTCTGGAGACGGGGCCGCAGGTCGATTACAGTAATGATGTAGATGAAATAGTGAAATGCAAGGTCATCACTCCCATGATACGTAAGATACAGAAAACGTATCTTAAAAATCTTCGCGACGAGATTGATCTGGTGGAGTATCTGGAGCGGGTGCCAGCTGCCATCAGTGAGCTGTGCAAGAACGCTGGTATTAAGGACCAGAGCAAACTAAAAAAGTGACTCCGGTCCTTTTCTTATTTATTCGTTGAGTTTTAATATATTTCTGTATACATTTCTTACAAATAAAACGTTGGTGGCATCTACAGCCCAATGTTAACAGAGCAATGTTCAGATGTAACATCGTGACCAATACGCCACAGGGCGTGACTTTAAGAATAACAGTGACAGGGATGCGAGGACGCTACTATCGATTAAGTTGCAAAACCATCGGATGTTTAGAATGATCGATTCGTCATCAAACATTTCCATCAAAAACAGTTTTAAATAATTTTAAAAAATATACAGTTTGGTACAAAGTTTGATATACCCAATTCTTTTGACCTTCCACTATTGGAGCAGATAATATCCTGCGAATATGTATATTAGAGCGGGTCAATTTGTATGGGACAAAACAAAACGTGATATGCGCCACCAGAGTCGGGGAGATATTGGAATCGCTGGCTGCGACCAGTCGTATAAACTAATTAAAATTGTTACGAACCTTTTGGTGGTGGGGCAAAACCGGCTAGCCAGTCTACCCAGGGCTGGGTACTTTCAACAAATCGAACACCTCGGACAACAATTGAAACATCTACAAAACAAAACAGAAAATAAAGAAAGAAAACGACACTTCAAAAATAAATCTTACGGACGCTACTCGACAAACGATTTCCTACCAAAACGTGGACCAGGTTGAGGCGTTGATGTCGTACCTCCGACGTACCCACCCACCAGAGCTCCGGATCAGACCATGTCGGATCTCCCTGCGAAACACTTAACTATTCATTTTTTCGTTATAATTCTTATACACATCCTACTCATATCGGTGGCGCGTCCGCCTATTCCCGCCCCTCAGCTTAATACAATGGGGTAGATATTATATAATTAAATAAATATGACTAAATAAATAGGATTAAATAAATAAGGTATAAATATTAATAGCTGCATATGGCTGAGAACGGAAAAATAAATATGGACGGCCTGACGAAAACAGACAGAGAACAACAAAAAAAATTTAAGTAGACAGTTGTTTTTTCTTTAAATATATACTTTGGTTTTTTTCTAGGGTTGGGGTGCCGTGGAGAGCGCCCTCCGTGGCAGGGCAAGTGACCAGGATCCCGTGGGCCGAAAGACTTGAAGAGACCAATATAAAAGAGGCCAGGATATCAAAGAAATTCCTTCTACTGTTAAGATAAGCTTCCGGCTTTTCCCACTTTTGGAGCGACTCACTTCTATTGTTTCGGAAGCTCCTGGGTCTTCCCGCTGGTCAGCTCGAAATCCTTCCCTGTCTCTCTCTTCCTGATCCAGATTTTCAGTTCTCGTGTCTGCCAAATTTATTTTTTCCTCTCGGTTTATTCCCAGCTTCTCGCAAATGCCACCTTGCAGCTGCTGCTCGTCGTAGTGGTGTGGTTTGGTCGGCGGTAGGGGCGGCTTGACAGAGGGGAGGGGAGCAGTCCTCCAGCAGACTGGATTTAGAACAGGGCAGCCACCATATGCGTGATGGGGGTGATGATGGAACGGATGGATGGACTGGCACACGATGCAGAAGCACATTGACATTGACCCTCCTTACACGACGACCGTCAATGATCAACCGACTGAATGCTAATCTGAACTTGATCTAATGATGACCCGGCCACGATCGCAAACGGTCCCCACACAAGACAACTAAGGGAAGCCGAAGGTCCCCAACTTAAAAATACAATTTTTTTTTTTAATTATTAAATTCTAAAAAATTATAAAATTATACTCAGCTGACTGAATACGGGTATAAGTAGAGTCGGGTCCCCAGAAGCGACTCACGCGTTCCTTCTCGTTTTTTTATTGTGTGCCCGGAAAGATGGTGAAGTTTTAGTTCTTTTAATTCTAGCTTGTGCGTTTTCAAATAATATAATTAATTTTTGTATGCGGTTTATTTCGTCTGTATGATTAATATTTGGTGAGTCTAATTGGTTCCAAACAATCTTGGGTATTTCGCTAAAGCCTCCTATGTATGTATATATTACAAAGACAATATTCCCTTCTTCTGTTTCTATACTGTGATGAGGAATTAGAATCTTATCATTAACTGGAGCAGTGCCATCCGACCTAATTGTTGAAATCCCCTGTTCGGGCAAATCGCTGGCACTACTCCAAGGCCAACTTCCTTCACAAACTCTTTTATAAGATTGCCACCTTGGCACTTATTGAACATCGCCGTGCACCATAATCATGCGTTCTTCAATTCTGATTGGTATTGGAACAACTCTAAATAACGCTGATGCATGTCGACCAATCAAAGGTATCTTCTTAGCCCCTAGCTGTTAGGTTAGGTTGGGTCTATAGGGCTGCTCGGGTGGCAAGTCTGCCCATTGTGATGCCCACACTCGTCACGGGATATTGTCCGGTGCCTTGGTTCTTGGCTTACCCGCGGGGTGTGGCGTGAGAAGGCGGTGTCGCGGTACTGCTACCGCCAGGGTGCCCGTACCGAAAGATATGCGGCAGTCCGTTGCAATTAGTTTGGCAAGGCTTTCCTGACCAATACTGATCCAGAGTTCCTTGCCGTTCCCCTTGTCAAGCGCTATCCCCTTGTGATGGTCCAGTCAGATGTCTCCAGGATCCGGTTCTGTGCCTTGATCAGAACGAGTGTGTCCCCATCCGCCTTGATCGGGGGAGGAATCCACACCTTCATTATCGTTCTCCGAATCTGATCCGTAGGGACCACGGCCAAAGTTCACCAAATACCACGAAGGTATTTTGCCGATGCCCTGTATTCCGCTTGCAGCCGCTTGCGTAGGGTCTCAGCCTCCGTCTTCTCGTCCATCACAGTTGGTGGACCCGAGACGACCTGGATGTTGGGAGCCGTGCCTTGTGGCACCGCCTTCTGCGGCTCCTCGTTGTATCCGAGTCGAAAGAAAGCCGTAGCCAACTCTGCTTCCGACACTGAGGGACCAGTGAAGACGAAGCATCCGTCTGTGGTTCCCGGTTCTAGATCTAGGACGACCTTTCTGTCTGCGGATCCTTCTGTTGCTTGTGGCATTACGCGATTTGGCAGCCAAGCACTCCACTGCCATTTCGGGTTTCCTGCAGTCACAGGATATCGACGCCGGGGGGCCTGCGCTCGCACCCCCAATAACCGCCGGTACTGTCTCTCCGACGCCCTGCACCTTAACTGTTGAATCGTTATCGGACATTTCCCCCATAACGGATGTGTTTTATCCCTACCGCCAGGGTGAACTACTTTTGGGTTCGGCGCTCCCCCATGACCTGCCCGGCTTGGGTGGCCCTTCTGGCAGCATACGCTACCGCCGGTATAGCTGTTGGATTCCTTACGCTTACTAAGCCCCCTCATCGCGGCAAGATGGTAGTTCTCCGAGCGGGTAGACAAAAGACATAGAGATTTACGAATCATAAGCTCACATACATACTGACTGAGTACCATGTGCATAAGTAGAGGCGCGGCCTTTTCCGCGGCTCACAACATTCCCGCTCGTTTCGAAATTCAGAATTGAGACCCTACTACAGAGAACTGACTCGACTTTATATTCTTTATATTCTTCTTATATTATGTTCATCGTTTCGTTTAGTTTCCACAGGAAAAGTGACCTTGCTATTAAAGTCATCACATGGATAACATCACCTCATAAACTGAAACAAACTCCAACCGATTAAAACAGCACCAGTCTCCTCTCGCTTTTTGGATACACAACGTCACAAGCATTGGTCGCACTCGTGTACCGATGCCAGGAGAGTACAAACAAATCACAGAAATCGCCCACTGAAAGAGGATAAGATGCCGCAACAAGGCAAGAACGAGCTACCGGGGAATGTCCGTCGGACTGTTTCCCATACCGATCTACAGACACTGCAGTTGCCCAGGCAGAAACCTCCAGAACAGCAACAGAAGCCGACTTCCATCCAGGATCTGTATCCAAGTCCTCCTCCGCCACCCTATCAGAATGTGCCCCAGCATCAGGTAGGAAAACCGCCTCAAGATAAGAACTATACAAAAAAACCTTCCTTTGGGAATCCTCAGAATATGCAGCAGATGATGCAGCAGCCACATGATAAGCAGACTCGTAAGAATACCCCCAAGATGATGCAGCAAAATCAGCAGACGAAGTACCAGAATCCCCCTAAAAAGGATCCGTACGAGGGGCCTCCTCTGAAGGCTAATCATGATCAGTTGAACCAGCAGCCACCTCAGGAGTATCGAGTGTCTGCTTATCAGAATTGTACAGAAAATCCTACGCATGGGAATCCTCAGATAATGCAGCCGCCTCCACAGCAATCCAAAATGATGCGGCAATGTCATTCGACCGAATACCAGAATCCCCCTAAGAAGGATCCGTATATAAAGCAGCTACAGCAGGAGTATCGGGAGGAATGTTTTTGCATTTCACTTAAGCAGCTGTCGCATTCGAATCATTCACAGAAGCAGCTGTTCTCGAATGATCCTCAAGAACAGGCACAGCGAAATCTGAGCCAGAATAAAGCACCTGCTAGACGATGCAGCTCCATGGCCAAAGTCGTTCCAGTGCCACGTACAGAGTGCAACAGCCGCCAGGTGCCGCATAACCTTTGTAGGAACGCGGACTCTCGCCCACCCTCATTCATGGCCGATAAAGCCAAGGAGATATTTTCACCCGAAGGCTGCGATAAGGACAACCACAAGATGGGATCCAAAGGCAAGCTGTCAAAATACGAGAATCAGCTGTCTGGCACGGAGAGCAACTGCAGCTCCACGACAGCGTCTGTTATCAGTGCGAAGAGCGGGGACGAACTGCGTTCCATGGTCCTTGAGGAGCTGAAGCTGCAGTTGGCGCTTAGGGGACTTTCCAATATGGTTAAGAAGGGGAGATATTGGATCCGGAACCGTCTACGTGTGACAAATCGGCCTCTAATCGGTCCAAGTCCTTCAAGTCGAAGGAGAAAGCATCCACAAGTGCATGTGCAGCTCTGGAGACGGGGCCGCAGGTCGATTACAGTAATGATGATGTAGATGAAATAGTGAAATGCAAGGTCATCACTCCCATGATACGTAAGATACAGAAAACGTATCTTAAAAATCTTCGCGACGAGATTGATCTGGTGGAGTATCTGGAGCGGGTGCCAGCTGCCATCAGTGAGCTGTGCAAGAACGCTGGTATTAAGGACCAGAGCAAACTAAAAAAGTGACTCCGGTCCTTTTCTTATTTATTCGTTGAGCTTTAATATATTTCTGTATACATTTCTTACAAATAAAACTGGCATCTACAGCCCAATGTTAACAGAGCAATGTTCAGATGTAACATCGTGACCAAAACGCCACAGGGAGTGACTTTAAGAATAACAGTGACAGGGATGCGAGGACGCTACTATCGATTAAGTTGCAAAACCATCGGATGTTTAGAATGATCGATTCGTCATCAAACATTTCCATCAAAAACAGTTTTAAATAATTTTAAAAAATATACAGTTTGGTACAAAGTTTGATATACCCAATTCTTTTGACCTTCCACTATTGGAGCAGATAATATCCTGCGAATATGTATATTAGAGCGGGTCAATTTGTATTGGCCACCAGAGTCGGGGAGATATTGGAATCGCTGGCTGCGACCAGTCGTATAAACTAATTAAAATTGTTACGAACCTTTTGGTGGTGGGGCAAAACCGGCTAGCCAGTCATCCCAGGGCTGGGTACTTTCAACAAATCGAACACCTCGGACAACAATTGAAACAGCTACAAAACAAAACAGAAAATAAAGACAGAAAACGACACTTCAAAAATAAATCTTACGGACGCTACTCGACAAACGATCTCCTACCAGGAGGTTGAGGCGTTGATGTCGTACCTCCGACGTACCCACCCACCAGAGATCCGGATCAGACCATGTCGGATCTCCCTGCGAAACACTTAACTATTGATTTTTTCGTTATAATTCTTATTCACATCCTACTCATATCGGTGGCGCGTCCGCCTATTCCCGCCAGCTTAATACAATGGGGTAGATATTATATAATTAAATAAATATGACTAAATAAATAGGATTAAATAAATAAGGTATAAATATTAATAGCTGCATATGGCTAAGTACGGAAAATAAATATGGACGGCCTGACGAAAACAGACAGAGAATATGTGCACAGGTATAGGGACAGCTCAACAAAAAAAATTTAAGTAGACAATTTATATATATTCTTTGCTTTTTTTTCTAGGCTTGGGGTGCCGTGGAGAGCTCCATCCGTGGCAGGGCGAGTGACCAGGATCCCGTGGGACGAAAGACTTGAAGAGACCAATATAAAAGAGGCCAGGATATCAAAGAAATTCCTTCTATTGTTAAGATAAGCTTCCGGCTTTTCCCACTTTTGGTGCGACTCACTTCTATTGTTTCGGAAGCTCCTGGGTCTTCCCGCTGGTTAGCCCGAAATCCTTCCCTGTCCCTCTCTTCCTGATCCAGATTTTCTGGAATCACAAAAACTTTGAGTGATGGCCATGATTCCATCCTCATCTCACTCACTCTGCTTAGAAAAAAAAACTGTCACACTTTCCACGTACTTATGCCGCCGACGGTTTTTTTTTTATAACTATCTTCGTACTCCGGCGTAGCTGCTCTATGCAATCCCTCTGCTGATCCCCAGTGATCTCTTCTATAGCCCTTGAACCAGGTCCAAGGGCATGTCCTGATTCTGGCTGGTTACCGCTCTCTTTCCTTTTGGGGGTGTGGGTGAGCTGTCTTCGGGAAACCGCTATGGATTTAACTTTCTCCTCTCTCAAACTCCCGGATAACCCGACCAGATAATAAAAAAACCAAATACCAAAGAGTCGATGGGTCTGAGAGGGTATTTAAATAATCTAGTCCTAATGTTACACATGTTTTATAAACTTATGTATATAAAAGTAGAGTCGCGGCAACAATAACGTTCCCCCTCGCTCATTTTATTATTTGGGTTCTAATTTATGTGTAATAAATTACTTGGTACCAAAAGACCAATTACAAACAATTTGGTTTCTTCAAGGGAAGACAACTTTATTCATACAGGTGAAAGGCTAACAACAATTAGCTGAAGATTGCAAAAAATAACGCTAAATATCAAATCAGCATATGAACACTGCACAAAATAAATTTATATTTTCTGAAAGCAAACATAACTCTAAACAAAAACCGTTTGCAGTCGGCTTTGGAACATTTAAACCCTGAATGCATTGGTAACACATAAATCCGGGGACCTTTCAGTCGTTCTTTTGTTTTATATTGTTTATTTATCCTTCCTAGAACTATAAATTTACAAAACAGGTACTAGTCACTCTGACTTGTCAATTTTTTTCTTGCCAAGACCAGATTCAATTAATATTCTGGTTATAAAAAAAACAACTGTCACTTTAGTTTCCAGGAAAACTGGTTTGGAATCGAAATCATTTTTAAGGTAGTACTCTTGGGCTCAGTTTTTCCAGTTGCTGTTCCAAAAAGTGTCCCTTTTAATTGATTGTTTTGGAAATTTTAGTAATTTCTTTTGCCCGAATTGCATACCCTTTATGTTCTGATATTTGCAATCCAATAAAAAATATGTAAGTACATATACATGAATTCCTAACGAGCATTAATGGCCAGTCGATGTAGCCCATTCCTGTTGTCAGATATTCTGCAAAATAGTCCCAAATTATTAAAGCCATCTGCATACGTACCTTTATTGTTAATAAATAAACCAAATACCAAAGAGTCGATGGGTCTGAGAGGGTATTTAAATAATCTAAATAACCGAATGTTACACTGGGCCAACGATATAATCAGGGGCAAAGAAGGAAGATTAACTAAGAGCCCGGCTAATTTTCTAATTTCGCAATGTAATGTTGTTGGGTCCGGTTTGGGAACCGGGTGGAATTGAAAGTGGCAGGAAAAGGGCTTCGTGGGGACACAGAGGAGGGCTCAAGGATGCCAAGGATGTGTCTGTTCTTGTTATTGCTTTAGGCCATCTCCATCTCCATCTCCCTGCCCCTGCAACTCTTACTGTTTCTAGCTGAAATTCTTGCAGAGCGCATTAAAAATAATTATGCTTATGCTGCTGGAAAATTTGCTGACTTACATACAAGTATTCATATGACCAAATGGGTTACCCACCCCACCCATAAGGGAGTACGTTGTATGTTACATATACCCATATATGTATGTACATGTGATGGCAGTCAAAGACCACACGAGAGGACGAAAGTGGAAGGAACCGAGCTGCAAAAATATTTGCACAACATTCTTAAGCTCAACCGAAACGAAAAGTTATGAAAAATGTTATGAAAATTTATCTTTGGCTGTCCCCTCCCACACTCCTCAGCGAACGCTGGACTGGACGGAGAGCGGACAGCTTCGCTATCGCCTTGGAACCTCCTTGGCCTGGGCCTGGGCCTGGGCCTGGGTATCTAGCTGGCCTGCGGTTTATGTGGCCACATTTTAATTGAAATAACTTTGATAATGTTGCCTGCAACTGAAAAAACAAGATAAATACGAGTATATGCAGCAAAAATATCCAAAAATTGAAAATGGATAAAGAAAAAGCCGGAAAAAAGTTTCCCATCGAAATTAAGTTTTCGTCAATGCACACGCAATTGAATGAGTTAAGGTTAAGGGAGGGAAATATTCTGTACCGTAAATAAGTACGGTAGATAGGTATGTATAAGTATGATAAGTGTATATATGTGTGTTAAATTAAATGTTCAATAATTAACAGAAATAGACTTAACAACAGAATCTGCTGGGGCTCCTTGGCTCCTCTAGGCCTCTGCGTTGACGAACTCCGAAAGGTCGAAACAGTCCACATGATTGGCAAGTGTTGGTGCCTCTGGATGCGATTAAACATCTGTTCTTAGGTCAGCATGCGCACCAGCTCGATGCTGAAACAGAACGGAAAGCTCTGGTCCGGCACATATGTACATGTGTGAGTCCACACTGCTGTGCCACCCGTGAAGTCAGGAATCCATCAGGTGGGGCTGCTGAGATTTTTGAGCGGTACCATCGACCCATTTACTCGAACGCGAAGAAGATTCGATCCTGGTCGATTTCGGACTGACTGGGCTTGATCTCGCCCGAATAGCAGCCAGATAAAGGCCTTCAAGGAGTCCAGGTCCAGCTGAGGCTCACTATGAAGCTGAAAGGGTGAAAGCGCGGAAGCGAGTTAGCCTTTATCTGCCTCGTTGGACGTAGCTAACAGACCTAATGTGCCTCCAGCACATCCATATGAGGCTCTCCGGGTTTTCCCATGTGTGTGGACTCCTCCATCGCCTCTGCAAACTCATCCTGTTCCAAGATAACCATTTTTTCCTGCACTTCGGCGACTTCTATAAGTATCTGTCTATAGGTATCTGTCTGCTAATCGGTGGCATGTTATTTAATTCTGATTTTTATTTGTCTACAAATCCATCGGGGTAAATTTCAATTTGTTCCTATAAAACCTTTTTTTATTATCGATAGTTTTAGTTCGAGTTGAGTCGCTCTTTTCGAAGAACATAAGCAAAGGAAACGCTAAGATACTCGTAGTCCGATTTGATCAAGTATATGTACATATATTCAGTAAAACCAACAAAAAATATGAGCCGGAATCTATAGATTTATTCTACATGGAATAATACTGCTAGGCAGATGGGACTGACTTGCAGTTGGGATTACCTAAATCTTTTATTAGAAATATCAGATTAGTGTAGCTTATGCAGTTACTAGGGGCCACAAGGCAGACTAAGCATAGTGGAGGCTGAGGACAAAGTGAACGTCCATTTTGACGGCCGGTTTACGCACAACCACGGCGCCCCCCTGTCGCATGACCTCGAGCGTCTGTTTTACCCCGTTGACGGTGATGGTGGCACTGCTGGGCACATGCTCAAGTCCGGCAATGACGATGCGCTCAATCCAGGCATCGGACTTGTACTTGGGCTTGCCAATGAAGTTGTTGGTTAGCCGATTGTCGGTAAACTCGTAGTTCACATAGATGTATTGGCCCTGCCGATATTCGTAGGATTTCTCATCGTCCAGGTAGAGTGTGCCGGCAGCTTTGCTTTCGCGATCCAGGCAAATGATCACAGTGTAGGGGTCGTGCAACATCAGAGTAGCTGCTCGACGCTGGCGCTCCTTCTTAGCCAGAATGCTGCCACCGCGCTGCCACACTGGGATCTGCAATGAAGCAAAGGTAGGAGAATGATACAGAAAACGTGATAA